CCCCTCCTGTGACCCATGGTTTGTCTGGATGTGTATTCAGAGCCAGTGAGCAACGGACTTTCAAAATAATAATTATAGTTTAAAAAAAAAAACTGCGCTAATGCGAGATAAAATAATTGTCGGTGTTAATTAATTAACGCGCTAACTTACCCTAATATATGAATGTATTTAAAAAATGTCATTCTATATTTTAGTCAATAAGTGTCAAACTTGTTTTTATTATATTATTCATCTGAAATAAGCCAGTCATGGGGAGAGAGCAATTTTCAAATTCAAAACTGCTTTTGAAACTAACTGATGATTTTCAACAATAATGGCTCTCAGTACAAAGACACATCTAAACGAAATAGACAATATAAGTAAGTTACCAGGGGCAGGTTGGGTGTTGCAGAGATTGGAGTTGCAACACTTGCTGCTGATAACGGTTTTGGCAACTCCGAAGTTGATCGAGGCCTCACCACACTCTTCAGCCGCAGCACAACTTTTCATGTGGGCATCAACAACTTTTATACCACCTGCAATAAAAAAGGAACCTTTGTGAACTTGGCAAGTGCAAAACTGCAAAACAATAAAAATCAATGCACTACAAAATACCGCACCTGCATATGAAATGACTCTCATCGCTGCACACTGTGCCGGACATTCTTTTTGTGAGTCTGTGCAGGTTCCTGAGCTTCCCATTGTACACTCGTAACATTGTAGAGTGTAGGCTGATAAAACACAAAACTCAGATAAGTTTTTTAACAAATAATTTGTTTTCAACTACAACAGAATGGAAAATATGCCATCTGTGCACAAACTACAATTAAAGAATAACAGGAATAGCAGTGACAAATAAAAGTTGTTACTGTTACTGTTATTTTACATGTCATGTAATCTGTCTGGAGTATTTGTAAAGGCAAATTGTAAATTACAATCCTTTTTTCGCTTAATTGTTTAAGATTAAACAGTTAAAACAACAGATAACAGAACAAAAACTTGCCTTTATGGAGAAGCACAGTCCCAAAGAAGAGAGTCAGGAGATGCATTTTGGGATTAGCTGGATACAACTGAGTTTGGTTTGATCCGTTACCACAATAAATAGTCCTCAAGAAAAGGTGTGGTCTCTTCATACTGAAACTTACTGAACACTGGTGAACTTCCTCTTCTTGGAGATTGGATCTGGGCCAATGAGTTGACAGAGAGCAAATAAATAAGTACTTTTATACACAAAACCAAAAGACACTATGTAAATAGTAGAAAGTCATCAGGCATAATGTGATTACCAGTGAAAACAAAGGCATGCACACGAGGAGGGGGGCTTTTACGTTAACAAGGGGACAGGAGGCTGCTCTCTGAAATTGAGTGATAAGCAAGTTGCATTGCCCCGAATGTATATTTCAAAGTTTGCACTCATCAATCCATACTTAAGTCTGCATTCTTCATCACACTCCATGATACAGCACTTACACAGTTGTATGCAAGAATTATAAGATAAGATATTCCTTT